CTTTTGCAATTTCTTTCCATCCTGAGCTGGCAAGTTCTAAAAGCACATTAATTCTAGTAGGTTTGGGTCTTTTTGCAAGTTTTTTGTTTTTACCAAAAACTGATTTAAACATTCTTTCAAAAAAATGCCAGTGAACCAATATGATATCTTCTCTCATATTTAACGACACATGTAATGGACCAAGAATTGGAATGAAATTATTAACAATTTCAGGTATCTGTGTTGATGGAGTATTTTTTTGTTTACGAAGCAAGGTTATTGCTCTTCTTATAAACAGTTGACCTGGGAAATCAGCAACAATTGGTATTACATTATATTGAAGGTAATTATTTAATGATGGTATATCTGTAATCATTTTAAGAGCATTTAAATAGTCATCTAAACTTTTAAGATTTTGTTCTTTAATATTAATTAAGTGACAATCCATCATCGATCTATCTTCTTGACGTTCTTCTATAGCATCATCATATGAATGAACTCTCAAAAGTTCTATTCTATCAAATTGTTTAAAGGTATTCACATTATTTTTCAGCCAATTTAGTTTTATCAAATTGTAACTATTACTCAATGAATCAATATATTTTATTAAATGATCATTAATTTGCCAATCTTCAATATTTTCAGGATTATGTATTGGAACACCATTACCATCTGCTGATATAGCTATACTGTCTTTTATAGTCTTTGATACACAAGTGGCCATGTGGTGAGCTGTTGAAAGTGTTGTTGTATTTGGCTGTCTAAAACTATGAATTGAATGGTAATCATCAATATTGAAGCAAAATAATTTATTTTTATTTTCTTCAAAATACTGATTTATTTTTGGCAAGTGACCACTTGTAATGTTTTTTTTGTATCTATCTACTGATTTGTAGGATACTGAAATACCAAGTCTTGACATCACATCTATACACTCTGTAGTAGCACCACATGAAAATAAATAAAGACCAATTTCTAATTGAAGAGAATTATTAAATTTATTCCTTAGGCCAGTCAACAAGTAGCAAAACCCAACAAGTGATTTTTTGGCATTGTCTATAGTATGTGTTGATCTATTAGAAGGTAAAAAGATATCAACTAATTCATCAAAAAAACCTTTTAATTTCATATCATGTTTCTCAATCATATCTTTAAATTTTTCAGGGTCTAACTCTATGTCTAAATTCAGCTGTCTTTGCCTTTGATACAATACTTGTGATAATAATTTAATTTTTTCATTAAATTCATTTATTTTATTTTTTTTGTAATCATTTAATTGTTTTTGGATTTCTTTTATTTTATTTATTAGGAGATCAAAATTTTCATTTGACAAAGATACCTTATCTTTATGATTATTAATATTTATATCTGACCAATAATCAAAATTTTCTTCAACATTATCAGATGAATTTTCCAGAATATGAGATAATTTGGATTCTGTAGAATCATCATCATCAACAATAAAAATTTCCCCAAAGTCTCCTGACCGTCTTTTTTTATCATTGCCTCTATTTGGCACTACAATTGATAAATAATGTGGATGACAAAGTTGATCACCAATCTTAAGGTAATTATAATCTTCATATGTTTTATGTTTTATAGCTTTGTTTTTAGAATCTTCAGTAAAAGTTCTAAATTTATTTGTATTAGGATCATTATTTTTACAGTTTTCAACTTTACATGGACCATAGTTTTGTCTCATTTTAAAACAATTTATTTTTTTTATTTTATTTAATATGTTAAATTTAAGTTTTTATGAAAATCTAATTGAATTTTTCAGTGGTTTTTTATCTCATTTTGAAATATGCATTTAATTAATAGAAATTAATTGATTTTGTAAGTTTAAATTGTTTTGTTTAACAAATATAAATGTGAATTATATTATACGCGTTTATTAAAAATTTTTTTTGGCAATGATATTCAAGCCAATAAGATTCGATTTTTGTGTGATATTTCGAAGGGAGATCATCACAAAAATTAGCCAATGAAATCAAATGTCCACTATGCTCATTTCATGAGTGTTGAATGTTCTAATTTTAAATAAGATGATATCCTTAATGTCATGAATTTGAGACACGAAATTTGAATAAGTATGTTTTTAACAATTTTCTCCCACATTATTGATTTCTCTCCCTTCCAACAACTCATTCTTTACCTTACATTGTTGAGAGTTGAGAAGAAGACAAGCTACAAATCAGTGATTGTGAATAGATATTGGCCTATAGGGTCAGTAAGAAAGTTACATTACCTGCCTTTTCATCGATATTTCTAATAAGGAATGTATTATTTTTTTTTCAACTTTCCATAGTGTTACCAGAATTAGGATTTAACGCTAAATTGTTAGTCGAAATACCCTAATTCCGAACCAAATCTTTTATTTTTATTTTTTACTTTATTTTATATCTACATTTATTCCTCATATTTTATTTCTTATTTTATTTTTATTATTTTATTTGTATTATAGTTGGCTCGGTCTAAAGACCTCCTAAATTTTGTGCAAATTTTAAAAGTATAGAAGTCATTTTCTGCCCTACCTTTTAAAAAAATAGCTCTATTAGTTGATGGAATAGGTCTTTAATTTTAATGTAATAAAGAGATTTTATCAAAAAAATTATTTGTTGTAGAGTTCTATTCTTTTTTAAAACATGTACTTTACTATGCTCATGAAGAATTTGAGCGCTAGGATCATTGCTAAATTTAGACTAGTTTTAGTTCATCGTTACTAAATTTAGACTAATACTCGACAATCATGTCTAAATTTGGCAGGAAGGAAAATAAATTTTTTAACCAAAATCACGTGAAGCCTTTTTGAAAAGTTTTTATTGCATTTTTGAACGAATCATGAAATCGCAATTTTTGAAATTTGAGCGTGTGGCGCAGCAATAGGAGGTCTTTAGACTGAGCCAACCATACATTTTTATTTTATTCGTATAATGTTGAAATTAGCGTCGCGGTTAGAATGTTACGTCGCAATTATAGTGCGATATCGCTGCTAGAATGTTAGATTGCAATGAAGTTGTTATTAATTAATTTAATTGTATAAAAGAAGCTCAAATTCAACTTGCTTGTAAAATAACTTTGTAATAACTTTGTCTTAGTTTAATAACTTTGTCACAAGTTAATTAGTTTCGACTAAATAAAACTAAATAAATAAGATAGAAATATTTTATTTAAACTTTTATCTTCTTTGACCAAAATTATTCACTAATACCAAAATCAATTCATTGATCTCCTATTCATTCTGATCCACACAAAACAAAAATAATTGTTATCACCAATTAAAATACGCTCTCCCAAATTTAATCGGTGACAATAGCAACCAATGAGTGAGGCGAGAATCTAGTTTGCTGTGACATGGTTTTGATAGTCTTGACTAAATTTGACTTGTGACTAATAGTTTGTCAAGTGGCTTGTTAGGTTACGTACTCAGTCCTGGTCGCCACGAAATGACAACAAGAAGTCACTCGTATATGTTTGAAAATGAGAGTTATATTAATCCGACATCTCAGCTAAATACAAAAATACCTTATATTTATTCATTTTATCATATTTGCAATTATACGTAATCGAGAAATGAAAATTTTAAATAGAATCATTTATTCCTGTAAACTCCAGTGACTTGATTAGGTCCGCATTATTGTGTGATTTTTGACAAATTGGTTATCATTTCTGCATGTTCTTCGTATCATTAACCAATTTTTTTATATATTCCTTTAAGGGATTATTAATACTTGGGATGCAATTCACACATCTCTTTTTTTACTTATTATGGAGCTTAGGTTTTGGCAAATATTCAAAATTTAATTAAAAATCGCGCGATATCGTTTTTAATTACAAACTTCCACAACAATAATAAAGGTTTACATTGTCGATTAATAAAAGAAATTCATTCTACCAAGTTTAACTGCTAATAATTAAATATGCTTATGATTTCATTTCATATTGTTTAAGAGATTTGACTCATTAACCTGATTTTGATAAAGAAACCTTTTTGGTAAAGTAGAGCTGGCAAGAGATCGTTATTGGTTGTTTGTCGTGATCACGAGATTCCCAATTCATCCAATCATTACAATGAAATTATTCCACAAAATCCTATTGGCCCTTAAATAAATTATAAATTGGTGTTTCTGATGATTAAAAAAAAGATGTGAACAAAAAAAGAGAACAAATTAGTTCGGGATCGAATTATATAACTTTTTTTTTAAAAAAAACTTGATATCGATTCACGCGTTCCCGTTCTCAAGAACAAAAAAATTCAAAATGGTTTTTTTATATTCTTTATTTTTTTCGAAAAAAATTTTTTTTTGAAAAAAAAACAAAAAAAAACCAAACAATCAAATATTTTTATTTTTATTTTTATTTTTATTCTTTTTTTTCTTTGGTATTTTTGAATTCTTCATCACCAAACGGAATTCCAGAAGCTAAAATAACAATGATAATAATAATAACAACAATTAATTATAATAGAACATAGAAATATAAATCAAATAATAAAATTTTATTCTATTTTGTTTTACCAAGTCTTAAAGCTCCAACAGCAGAAGAACAATCATAATGTTGACCACCATTTGCTTTTGATGTTAATAAATGTTGAAATAATAAATCTGCAATTGGTAATTGAGCTTGAGAATCATCAGCTAAATTACGCATAAGTCTAAAAGTTAAACAAATAAATTAAATATTAATTAATGAATTAAATAATTAATGAAAACAATATTTAATGCTCTATTATTATTTCTCACCTAACATCTTTCATGGCATTATTAACACTGAAGCCGATATCTATGGTAAAAGTATCATTTACCATTCTTTTTCCTATCATCAATTGATAAATCAAACTAATAAGTTAATTTAGCATAAGTCCATTTATCTACATATGTATTATTATGATGTGGTGACTGACCATATCCTTTAATAACCGCATCAGATGAAAATTCTTCAAAAAATTCCATCATTTTGTCTCTACTAATATCATTTTTATCTGCAAATGTTAATCCTTCTGACAACATTTCAATTATTCCCCCAACAAAAAAATTTCCAACAAGTTTATATTTTGCTGCTTTGGTTACATCTTCTCCTTTATAAATATTGTATTGGTTGAATAAATAAATATTCACTCGTATATTTATAAATGAATAAATATATAGATTATTTACCAATTGGGATTGCTTTTTTTCCAAGAACTGGTATAAGTAAATGCATTATTTTATCAATGATTGATTGTTTACCGGATGTAATAACCACTAATTCAGCTTTCTAATAATTGAATAATTCAACAACAACAACAACAACAACAACAACAACAACAATAATAACTTTGCTATTTCCTCCACTATTTCTTCTCCCTCTATTCCCTCAATACACATCTCCTATTCACGTAATTATCCCATTTTCTTATTACCTGAGCTTTGGCTGGCGGCCCCCAAACAGGACATGCAAGTAGAAATCTATTTTCTATTTTTTCAACTTCATTTTTCACTTCATTAATAACATGTGGTGAAATTGTGCTACAGTCAATAAAAATTACTGATCTGTTATTAATGTTGTTGAATTTACGTGGATCAGAACATTTCAACAATTCTTTATAAATACTGGAGACTGCTTGGTCATTCAATAAACAAGTAAATATGATGTTCGCTTGTTCTGCAACATCTTGTAATGATTGTGTAGCAATTACTCCTACTGATTCTGCAAGTGATTGGGCTTTGGAGTAGGTACAATTGTAAACGAGCAGATTTGGAAATTGATTTACTGCTAAATACTTTTGAAGATTAGTAGCCATTGGATAACTGTACAAATAAATGAGTAATAAACGAACGAATGAACGAGCAAAATATTTCTATTGACATTGATTGATTAATTAATTTACCCCATTGCACCCAATCCAATGAAAGCGACACGATCATTACTACTAATAGTTGAAGTCGCCATTTTTTATTGTCAATATTATTATTGATGAAATCAATGATTTGCAAAACGTCGTACAAATGATTATATAAATAAACTAAACAAAAATTATTTTTATTGAAAAATAAAATTTTAATCAATTATTGGTTTATTTATTTTGGGTATTTGATAGTTGATCCATACTTACAAATGCAAAAATACCATGACTACAAGTGAATACCAATCACTTTTCAAAGAGGTAATAATTAATTTCACATGATTTCATAATTAATAATATAATATATTAATATTGTGTGTTTGTATGTGCAGCCACCAAGAACAGACATTAATCACAAGAAAACTTGTGATGCAACATTAAAAGCTTTGCTGAAGAGCATGAAACCATGCGAGATTACACAAAACCAGACAAATGTCATGCAAGTATACATGCAGCATTAGGTGATCCTAAAGGTTTACTATGGCATCTTCAGCAAGGATCTAGTGTAGAAGGTGAGTATAATTTCATGGACCTAAAAAAAGAAAAACTAGTAATCATCACGTCCAAATATTGTCCAAGGAGGAACATCAACAAGATGTTTGAATGTTTGAAATATTGTAATGCGGATTTTCATGGAACTTCAGTCAAAGAAGGTAAAACTGCTTTACATATGTTATCTGAAAACATCAAATTAATGAAGAAGCCTACTAAAGATAGTATTGCAAGCAAATATGTTGTTTGGGCAATTGATGTTTTGGTAAGGTTGGGATGTGATGTCAATGCACTGGATAACAAATCAAGAACAGTGTTGTCTTATTATTTGGAAGAAAACTATGAACATGATCTCAAAATACCAATAATAGATAGATGCCTTATTGAAAAATAAAGCAGATCCAAACCTGCCAACCGATGTTTCTAAATTATCAGGTGAACATTTCCATCACCAAGCTCATTAGTTTTAGCAATTAGATCTAATTGGCCGGGCACTTGTTCATTTAAATATATAGCACAATTAATTCGTGATACGTGATAGAAATAGATGATCGACACATTTTAAAAAAGTCTCGATTAATTAGAATCACCTGGGTAAAGATGTATGAAATCACATGATTCATATGTAAGGTGTGTGGGTAAGGAAGAGGAGCATCTGCTTGCAATGGCCATAACATTCAAACTATCAATTAAATATTCCTGCCACCGAACTTTTCAATTTCTCATGGGTTGGCTAACGTATTTATGGGAAGTGCAAGGTTTGATGCTTAAATCTTTAGTGCATTTTTTGTTTGGGCTTTTGTTACTTTGTGCTTCATAATTAAGATTCAATTACAAGTTCTGTCGTGTCCTTCTTTATTGTAATTTTTTATCATTAGTTAAATAAGTAAGTATACTAGTTTAAAAAATCTTTAATATGAATAGGCTTTGAATGTCTAATGAAATTTCCTCAATAAAGGATAATATAAATCGCAAACTTTATACAGAATTATTGATAAAACTTTGTTATGTTTTTAATGATAAATCAATCATGATAAGATTTCATATGATACAAAATGATATTGCACGATATATTTTCCAAAGTAGATTACCCAATTACCCTTACTGTATCGAACGGTGGAATTAGCAGAATAGACAAAAAACTGGCTTCCAATTTACTCTTACCATTCATTATATTTCATTTCGCAACAGTCTACTCTGCCTCACACCCAAGAACTTCTCCAAAGAAGAGGTTTCAGAGAACCGCAATACATTAGGGTTTTTGTTTCGATTTTCATGATTTTGCATCAAATTTCACTCAACATTTTAATTCTACCAATTTTAAACTTTTCTCCATTTCCAGAAAGAAATTATGTTCGCACATTACTATTGCCGTCATATAAGTTTGAGTGTGAATGTTGATGATAATAAGGATTCTAATCAATGTATACAATTTAGGCTCTGATTTGTATTAAAATTGGGATTTTTTAATATTATTAATGTATTAGAATATTAATAAATAAACGAATGAATGATTATGAATGAATAAAATGAACGAATGAATGAACAAACGAATTACTTTAAACAGCCATTGTTGTTTGTACTCGACCACTCTGTTCATTTTATTTAAAATCTCTCCCTTGATCATTACTGCTTTTAAAGAAATTTTTTATCATCAACCTCAGATTTTTGTCATCTTTTTCTTTCATATCTTCATTAAAATTTTTGTCATCTTCATCAGAATCTGCATTTTGTAGATTATCATACGCAAAGACTATTTGAAGTGCTGTATCCTGTGGACTCGTTATTACTTTATCTGATGACGATAAGGAGGAGGATGCGGCATTTTGGTCTTCAACTGATGTTTTTCTATTTATTTTCTTCGCTAAAGGGTTAATTAGGCCATCACCGCTATTTCTTGATGACTTTTTATATTTATTATCCGATGTCTCGTTTAAAGATAGATCATAAAATTTATTTTCTTGAGGAATTGCAATGTTTCGAGGGTAAACTTTTGCATAAGAATACACTTTACTTTTACTGAAATCATCATTTGAATTCATTGTTACTATCAAAGGAAAATAACAAATATCAACAACAAAATCATTCAAATAATCATCATCCCATTGACCTCTCATTAATTTTGGCATTATTTTATCATCATTTTTAAACCAATGTATTTCACATTTTGGTTCTTGGGTCAATAGACTGAATTTGAATATCCTTACAATGTCTTTAATAATATCTTCTGCCATATTTTCGGCATACTTTCTTTTATTTTCATCTCTGATGAAACGATATTCAGCCATTGATTGATTGAGTCTTTGTGCTGTGGATGATATAAATGGATGATGAGATTGAGGTTTTCTTCTTTCGTAAATTTCAGGAAATCCAAGTTCACCTAATGCAAAGTATGTATATTGACGAATTTTTGTTGGAATGGTTTTGACCATATTATCATCTTGCTTATTATTATTATTATTATAAAAATCGGTGAGGAGTTCTAAAAATTTGTTTGTGTGGTTTACAATAAATTTTTCTTGATTATAAAGATCATTTAAGTCATCACTTTCTTTAATTTTAAAATAATCATCTGCATATTCAAGAACTTTTTCTAAAATATAACGTTGCAAAGTTGATTTCATCAAAATTTTATCTTTATAGTTTTGAGATTTCACGTGATATTTTACATATAACTCTTTAATTAGCTTAACGTTAATATCAATAGAACCTTTTAGAGTGGTAACATATTTCTCAAGTTTATTTTGTAAATTAATTATATTAGTTGTAAAATTAACCAAATTATTTAAAGCTTCGTCATTAAAGCAAGGTATTGGTGCATCACCTAAAGCCGACTGATACAATGAAGAAGCTTCTATTGATTCCTTATTTTTAATTTCTAATTCTTTGTTCAATTTCTTAATCGCATTATTTATACTATAATTTTCTATTTCTAGTTTTTTGATCTTTTTCTCTGTGGAATTTTTATATTCCAAGAATTCAGATAATTGACAATTATCTTCTTTTATTTGAGACAATTCTTTTTCTAATTTATTAATGTTTTCTTTATATTTATTTAAATTCTTTTGGAAATGAGTTTTTTCTTGGTTTAATTTATTGATTATCATTTTGTATTTTAATCCATTTTCTATTTGCTCATCCTTCAAAGTAATAGCATAGTTTTGATTTTTTTCTGCTAAATCTTCAAGTTGTTTAACTTTTTGCTTGTATTTATTCAAGTCTATTAAACAATTTTCTTTTTCTTGCCTTAATTTATCAACCATCTCTTTGTATTTTGATTCAATTTCTTTTTGCTCAGCCGTTAAAGTAAGAGTATAATCTTGAAGTTGTTTATAGTAATACTCTTTAGATTCTTTTTGAGCTTTAACAAGTTTATCATTATATCCTGCTTCTAAATTTCTAATTTTTTCTTCATACACTGGTTCAATTTTTGGTTTAATGTAATTGTTTAAATCATTTAATCTTTCTTGATTTAATTTGCTATTTTCCTCCTCCAAGTGTTTGGTCGTTTCCTTGTAAGTTTCAATTTCTGCCGTTAATTCTTTAAGTTTTTTATTGTACATTTCCTCGGCTTGTTGATGATTATGTATAACGTTGTTATATCGTGCTTCTAGACTTTTGATTTTTTCTTTATATTTTGGCTCGATTTCTTGTTTATAATTATTTAAATTGTTTAGACAAATTTTTTTTCCTTGAGATAATTTATTAATTATTTCTTTGTAACTTGACTCATTTTCTTTGTATTCTTTCATTAATATATTAACTTTTTTATTGTAATGTTCCTCGGCTTGCTTTAGATATTCGTTAATGTGGTTATTATGATTCACTTCTAATTCATCGATTTTTTTGATGCAAGTTGGTTTTTCGTTTTCTTGATTCAATTTTTCTTCTAATTCTTTAATTTTACCAAGGTAAGTCGGTTCAATTAATTCTTTATATCTTGTTAAATTAATTTCCAAGTCTTTACATTGATTATTGTAATATTCCTCAGCGTCGTTTTGATATTTGGCCAAGCGATCATTATATTGTGCTTCTAAATCCTCGATATTTTCATTATATTGTGTCTCCAGATATTCCAGATATTCGACCATTTTAATATAATTTGGTTCAATTCTATTTTTATAATCATCCAATTCATACTTGAGTTTTTCATTTTCTGCTTTTAAGTCTTGAATTTTTCGAGATTGCTCTAAAATTCCAGTAGACAAAAAATCCTTCGTTCCCGAAAGTGGATTCATTATTATTGTTGTTGTTGTTGTTGTTGTTGTTATTGTTGTTGTTTAATAACCTTTTTTATTGATTAATTTTTTAAACTTGATATATTTTTGATGGTAATATTAACATCATGTACTATTATTAATCATCGAATGAAAACAAGTTTATGTAATCCGTGTTTGGCGTAATATTAATATCAAAAAAATTTTATACAACGAAATGGTAACTGAAAAGAAAAATATTTCAACTGAATTTCTGGAATTTGAAGAAAGAAAAACTCAAAGACGTAATAAAAAATATTATATTATTTCCTTTTTTTATTTCATTTAATTAAAAAAAAATTAAAATTTTTTTTCCTAGCAAAACTTTTAAATGAAATCATCATCAAAAATAGCATTAATGAAAAAGGGAAAAGACAAACAAGAGAAATTAATTGTCGTAAAAAAATTATAGAAATTTCAAATAACAACATTGATGCTACAATTGATAATGAATGTCTACCTAAATTTACTCCAATAGAGCCACCGACTGATTGTAAATAAATTTTTTCTAATTCGACCTTTTTTAAAAAAATTTTTAACATTAATTTATTTATTGTTTTTCAAGTAATAAATAGCTTAAAAGAATTTTTACCCAAGATTAAAGAAGATAATGAAAGACTTGAAAAACTTATGAAACAAGATCCCAAAGCTGTTAATATGGAATATATCGAAGATGATTCCAAGGGTTTTATAGAATTGGTAGTTTTTTTTTTTTTGAACAAAGAATTGTTTTTATTGTTTTTGTTATTAGAAATCCAAGATTTTAATAAATTTATTTAATTAAATAAAGGATCTTGGATTAGGAGTGTTTTCATCAATAGACAACGAATCATCAGATGAAATTGATGGTGATACTGATTATTATACTGCCAGTGATTTCATTAGAGATGCTATTAGTAAAAGTCCAATAATAACACCAAAGATCACTATTTTAGAAAATGAACACGGAACAGACGATGATGGCGATAGTAGTAGTAGTGGGAAGGATGATAGTGATGATAGCAGCAACAGCGAAGATGATGGTAGTAGTAGTGAAGAAAATGAGGAAAATGACGACGATGATTACAATGACAATGATGATGGTGATGATGACAATGATGATGATTTATAAAAATATGGAGAGGAGATTATGATAATAAAACAATAAAAAAAAATTTAAGGATCATACAATAATTATTTCTGCAATTATCATTTTTTAAAAATCAAAAAAAGACAGCATGAATAGTGAGTGACTAGCATCTTTTTATTAAAAAAAAAAAGAATTTTACCCAATTTTTTTACTGTGACTCTCATTTTTTTTTTGCCATCATTTATTTTTCAAAGATTTCATTGTAACAAGGTATACCAATCAATAAGATTAGTTGATGAACTCTATCCTATCTTTTATAAAATATTTGGCAATCAAATGATTTTGAATAATTTGATGTCTCGTAATAAATAATTCATCAAATAATAAAAGATGAGAAATATTTACTATTGTGCAAAATATCTATAACGGTCAATGATTATCACATGACTTTAAAAGCTTATTAAAAAAAAAAAAGTAAACCGATAGAATTAAAGCTAAAGACCTAAAAGCTTCATTTTCATCGGTTTACTATTTTCATTTTATTAGAAAAGCTTTGCTTCAAAGTTAGAACGTTTTATATGTAAATTGTAAAATTTCGGAATGATCTTCCTTATGTTTTCTAAAAGACTGACAGATGACCAGCTTAAAAATTTCTATGAAGAAATTAAATACATTATAATTTAGAGAGAGAGATCTTTAAATTTCAGAGATACCCATCAAAATGATTTTTTTTTATTATTTTTTCAAAAATTATTAATTATCATTGAAAACAAAAAAAAATCTGAATGAATTAATGAATGAATGAGTGAATGAATGTATAATGAATGTATGAATGAATGATTTGATTTTGATGATTGAAATAAATAAATAATAATGTACACAAATAAAGCAATTATGATTAAATGTCTGTTGATTGTTTTTGTTCTATAGTCGAAATAAAATGTAAAATTCTATAAATTAAAAAAATTAAAATTAAAATTAAAGTAATATTTATTATATATTATATTAAATACAGAAAAAAAGAATGTAAATTTATTTATATTGATTAATTTATAACCCCTCTCTATATACTATATATATATATATATATATATATATAAATTAATAATTCATTTGCACATCGTCAAATCCATCAAAAACATCATCATTATTGTTGTTATTGTGTTTTTCTAAAATATTTTTCATAAGACTTTCCATTTTTCCGCCTACAATCATGTGATGTACTTGACTTATATTGGAACCTTGCAATAAACCAGGTTCACGAATGATTTGTTCATCAAGTTCATCTTTTACCACTCTCATGTTATTATCAATATCAATATTATTACAATTATCATCATCATCATTACTTCTTATTTCTTTAAGATGTAAAAGATTTGAAATGTTAACTGGGGCCCATAAATAATCACACAAATATTTCTGTTCTAAAGGTTCCAACACAGTAGATATTAATTCTGATAATGGTTCATCTAACGATCTATGTAAAACTATTGGCGGTAATTTTATTGTTGAAGTACCACTGTTACTATTGTTGTTGTTATTAACATGTAAAGTATGAAAATGGTTATGTTCAATCCTTATAACATTTAACATTCTTAAAGTGAAATCTAATGCTTCAGGTGATGATATTTTTCTCGATTGACCAAGTTGTACTATTGAATTGAACATGTAATAAAAACTTTCTAAAAATGGAAAGCATCTAGAATCGTCTCTGAATTCCTTTGATAATTTTTGGCATGATCTTTTTGCTGAGGTCGCGTAAGATTCAAATTTAGAAATCCAAAATTTCAAAAGTTTTGAATTTGCGTAAATTGTTGGTGGGGGAGATGGTGGCAATGATGGAAATTGATAATTTGATGTTAATGTGTCACTAACAACATTGTTTGGTGATATCTTTGGTGATAGTAAGGGTGATTTTGTAGATAATGGTGGTGAGGTGGAAAGGGGAGGGGACGGAAGTGAAGGCAATGATGACAATAACGATTTATTGTTATATTTGTTATTGAGTGGTGAAAAAGGTATCATTGGATTAGATGGTGATAACAATAGAAGATAATCATCATCGTCATCATTATCATCGCTGGTATTGAAAGTGTCAGTTGCGCTTAGTAAAGAAGCTGAATTATCACGATTTGGTTTTAACAGTGTAGAAGTAGTTACATTTGTTATTGCGGATGCAATTGAAGCAATTGTTTTGTTGCTTTTACTGCCACCAAAATTGTTATTACGTCTAGAAGTACTTGATCTTTTACTTCTACGAGAAGTACGCCTTTGTAAGATAGAACTATTTCTTTTTGTTAATGAAGAAGAGGAATTATTTGTTGATGCTGAAGAACTTGAAACAGTTTTTGTTAATGATGTTGAAGAGGGCATAGTTAAATGGTTAATATTATTAGTATTGTTGTTGAATTGTTGATTTAAATCAGGATATGCTTCAATTAGTCTTTTAACCATTTCTTTATTTTTATCATGATTACATTTTCTAATTATCCATTTCCAACAAATTTCAATTCCTTCAGAATAACCAATCTCAAAACAAACAGACAAACAACCGACACCCTTGGATAGATTATCGGATAGTTCATGATCCCATCTTTTTGTATACATCAATTTCAAAGTGCAATAAAAATTTACCATATCCTCTTCAGTCACTCGCGAAGGCAACTTAACTATTATTTGTTTTTCTCTTGAGATTAATGTTGATAAAGAAGAGTTTTTTGATAATTGATCTTTGAAGAATTGAGATTGAAAGAGTACTATTGAATGAAGCCTTAATTCAATAGGAATGCCAGCTTTTTTAGCCAAAACACCATTATCTTCAAAAGTAAGCTTAACGTCACTATAAATTCTACCTTGGTCCCATAACAATTCACCTACATTTGGATAATCTTTGGATAATTTTATATTTTTGGTATAACCATCAAAAGAGTCTTTGCTATGATGATGATTTAAAGAACCTCGAGAAGAATGCTTTGTACGTTTTTTACAATTACCGTGATGATTTTTATGATGACTATCAACATTGTTACTTCGATTTATACTATCATTTCTATTTAATTTAGAAAATTTATTATGTTGAGAAGAAGTTGTAGTAGTCGGAGAATTTAGATAATTATTATTATTTGATGATGTTGTTTGATAATTGTTATTGTTATTGCTATAATAGTCATGAGCCTTATTTTTATGATTTAAATTGTTGTCATTGTCGATATGTGAAGAAGAAAAGGATTCCAAAGCTGTATTGGAAAATATTACATTATGTTTTTCTTCTCTTGTTGAATTATTGACAATGTCTGTTGACATATTATATAAACAATATTAATATTAATTATAATAAATAATATTCTATTAACGAAAAAAAATATTTTTTTAATTTCAATAATAATAATTAATAATAATTTAATAATTCCTTTAAGAAGAGTATTATTTTTTTTTTATTTTTAATTAGTGAAGGAGTGAGGAAAAAAGGAATTATTCAACTTATTTATTTGGTTTTTTTCTTTAGAATAAAACAATATAAATATAAATTAAATAAATTAAATTAAAAAAAACCAAGTATAATATAATTATTATAATTATTCATAGTTATTTATAGGTTATTTAATTGTTTTTATTATAATTTAACTACATTAGGTATGTATGGGTGAGCTTTACATTCATTCACAAATCTAATTTTTTTGTGATCAGCGCTTTCTCCTTATTTGGCAAAAAAAGCATCATTATTTATTGTTATATATATATATAAACTAGTTTTAGTACGATGTACGTCACTTCTTTCTTTATGATTTTTAACGTGTTACAGGGGTAAATAAGGATACGGTTAAGAAATTCTTTGCTTACCAATCGGCTTAATGAGTTTTTGTACCATGTTCTTTTAACATTTACCATTCGTGCTTTACAAAAATCATCCCTCCATAGTCTCCACGTTTGCAACATAACTTTAATAGCATTCTAACTTATTTCTCTCAAAATAGCTTATAAAATAAATATCTTGTTATTCCACGGCCTTCTCAGATTACCAATGATAATATTATCATGGAATTTTAATTTTATAATTGATCATGAAAATTTTAAAATTTTTTAATAAGGCAAGCAGATACGCTTATAATTGGTATTTATTGTTTTATAGTTTTTTGGAGATGTTTGTTTTCATTTTAAGCCTCCTTTGATTAGTAATATCTAAAAGTGTGACCTTCTTCATCCTAGAGAAGGTCGCTCTTGTTTGGGATCAATACAGCATACTTCTTCCTGGTTATAAGCTTGTCTACATTTTCTTCAACGTATTCACCAAGGTTGTTGTTTATTTTCTATTTTCGGCATAGTGTAGTGAAGAAGACGCTTACTCAATATATAATTGAATTCACAATCATTGTTCTCTATTTATATATTAAATGATGAATCCTACACTAATTTTTTAAAAGGTTGCGCCTATTAGTACATTTTTAGGTCTTGGATTTTCTCTTATTGTTTATTCCATTGAATGAGGGAAATCCACAATCTTTAAAATTTTTCCTAATTCAAATATATCTTATCTAATGAATTTGCTTAATATAAATAGGGCATGGAATTATTTTTTTATTAAAAGGAAAAATATTTATTACAAATGGAAATCTATTCTTGATATTTATTGTTTATTTTATTAAGGAATTTTTCTAAATTGAGCTACGTATTTATTATATTCATTATCTTTTGTGGCTGAATTAACACTTATTTTTTTTATCCATCATAAATTATCTGACATGTTCTGGTTGAAAATGAATCATGTAATCTAAGATGACATCAAACTTACCGTACAGTCCCGAAAGATGGCACCCTCTACTTGAACAATTTGAAAATTATTTGTTACACGGTATAAATGATTGTAAAAAGAGGATGCTATATACGATATTTAATATTAAAATTTATTATCCCTTAAAATGAAATATAATAATAAATTATTTTTTGATTAATGATCATTTCAGTCCAGTTATCACTGGTATTATAGACATTTTGGTGATGGAAACAACCCCTAAAAAGTGATATTTATTTTTTTGCATTGGAACGTAATTTTTCCTAAATAGTAAAAAGCATATGCTGTGTATTATAAAGGCTACAAAGATAATGAATTTTGTCTAGGATATTGTTGCAAATGCGAAGTTAAAAAAAAAAAAAAATCCAACCAATGCTGTATCCAAGTTATATCAAAAGATTAATCTATTTATTTTTAATATAACGCCATTGTTGGGTTTAACAGAATTCATGAATTAGTAGTTTCTTCTTATAATGCAATCGGTGGAACTTTTGTTGATTCATATGTCTTGTTTATTTGTTTGTATTACATTTATTAAAAAATAAATTTGGTTTTAATTTTACAAAATTATTGATATTAAAAAAAACAAAGGATTGCAAGGCTTCTCAAATTTGAATGTTCGTTGTATATCAGCCCTCTTCATATTCGAACCAGTAATTTTGAGATAGAATGGTTCAAACCATACAAGCTACCAGATATTCGAATTGTAATAATAAATATTAAAATATTGGAATCAAAGCAAACCATTAAAGTTATTTGAGTATTTGTTGCTTTTAGTAGTGTAAAGCTGTCCCTTATTGTTAATTAAAAAAAGGGCCAAAACAAAAATTTCGAACTCTTTGTACAGATTGAAAAATTTCCTTCAAGTCAGCGCTCGACAAATAAAAGGATCGGCGAACAATCACGTGGATTTCTTTTATAATAATGCAAAATTGGTTGTTATTGAATTTTATTATTGTTATAATTTTTACTTGATAAACCGAACTTAATGGTTTGTGCAAAATAATACTTTCTAAGCCGAATATGATCATAAACTGGTTTTATAATGATAAAATTCGGCTTAAAAATAATGTCGATCTACTTTCTATTCAAGTTTTAACAAAATTTATAATTTTTGAAGTTGATATGTTGAAGTTGATGCTGAATAAGAAAATCGTGAAGTTCAAGATTTAATTAAATAAATCTCATTTGATGATTTACTGTTAGCGGACGAGTATTTAAATATTGAGAATAACATGGTTGCAGGTGAATTAGTAATGGAAGACGAGGATATTATTGCATTAATTCAACCAACAGAAATAGATGAACAACAGGATGAAACCTTTATTCCAGAAATTTCTATTACAGATACCATAATGAAATTTATTAAATTTTTAGTATCCCTCTAAGTGATTTCGATGTATGCGAAGATGAATTAAAGTGCACTCGTACTCTTAGAAAAAAATTATTAAGTCACGATCTTTAGATGAATATTTGTTTAGAATAATTTTGTAAAATTTATATTTTATGACGTTGTAAGCCGAACAATTAATAAAATTCGTTTTGTATCATAAACCGAATTTTGATAAGCCGATCCTATTTTTAAAGTTCTGTTTATCGAGGTTTGACTGTAATCCAATTCTCCAGTGTGCTTTGTTTTTTTTTTTAGGACAGTATGTTTGGATGTGTGACTTTTTAATTTTAAAATTCAAAAGTAAGATTTCCAGGTGAACCTTGAATATAATACTTTTTTTGTAGTAATTTTTTGTTTAACAATTGATAATTCATATTCTGATTCAGACAGACTCAGCTGTTGGTCTTACATAACCAATAATTCTTTACTTTAACAAGAATTATATCGCCACTAATTACTCTTTTGTTTGAAATTACTTGATTGAAATTGCATTTTCAAGATCAGGCAGGATACTTTGCAGCTTTATCTTTTTGTCTGTTGGCATCATTAGGGTTGATGAATAGCCATTTATCTTTATCTTTTAGAATATTACAAATAGTAGGTTTTGTAATTTTGGCCAAGTTCTTTATATTAATATGTGAATGATGGATTTCATCCATAACAAAGTTGATTTTTCTCGCCCCAAATCAAAACCTTTCTTTCTTTGTTTGGCTGATATCGGGAAAGCAGTTTTTAGCTGAAATAATTTTTAATAAATTATTATAAAAAATAAAAAAGTATATCTCCTAGTTCTTTTACCAGTAAATAATCAATCACAAGAAAATTACTCGCGACACATTACTAAATTCAATTACTTTATTTTTCGCGACACGCTAAAGTCCAATTACTTTATTTTCGCGACACGTTACATCAATATATTTAGTTACTTTGTTTTTCACGGCACATTACTAAATTTAATTACATTATTTTTAATGATAACTTGCTAAAAATGAAAAAAATTTTTTTTTGCAGTACAGCTCGAGTCATCTAAAACCGACCACTTTGTCGATCAGCGGCAAAATTATTAAAAAAAAAAATTTAATACTAATCTAAATTATTTAAAATATTACTTGGAATAATACGATGACGTTTGTATTTTTTAAAGGCATATTCAGCCTGTTTTTCATCTAATCATTGTCTATAACATTCCATATATTTAAAAGATTTATTTGCAAATTTTCTAATTTTTTCAAGAGAAACTGCATCCAAAGCCTCGGGAACAATTTTTTGTAAATCATTTGTCCATTATCTTCAGATGTTTTTTTAACTTGTGAAGCATGAAATTGCCTAGTTCGTGGTGCATTTCCCAAGTAGACAGAACGACGTGCAGAAGGCTTATAATTATTTATTCCATTTTGAAGGACTTTCACAAAATAACTGCAATTAGAATCTAAAATCTGTATCCCAACTTACTTCACTATCACTATCACTCTTTGATTCTTTTACCATCCCTGCTTTCACCATTTGCTCTGTTTCTTGTATGAAATTTCTTTTTACCATGTTGTGTCAATATGGCCTACTTTTAATTGGTTGTTCACGTGTATTTGGTATTTGATGTTCATAATCCTTAATATGTCCTAGGATCTAGTAATTCTTCTGCAAATCTATCTTTGTAATTATGAATGAGTTCATCTAATTGTTGCTGCTGTTTTTCAGTCAAAGCTGACTTCTCTTTTGTCATTAATACTGGGGTATTCTTCCATTCTTCTTTTTGTTGAGCATCTCTATCCTTTCTCTATCTCCTTCTGAGGCTTGTTCATCTCCTGCTAGTTTCAGTAAATATTCTTTTTCCTTTTCCACCACTTGTGTAAAATATGCCATAGTTTCAATTAATTCTTCTTCGTCATACAGATCATTTCCCTCCAAGATTACTTTCTTTGATTCTTTTTCAAACATAATAGGGTGTTGAAGAAGGTCTTTCCTTTCCTTAAATTGTAACACTTTATCTTTGAAGTTTATTGTGGCTTCTATCTTTCTCAGCCAATTATTTCCTAGTATTACATTATAATTGGTGGCTCTCATCACAGCCATATCTATGTGTATTGGTTTCTTTCCATTTATAGTGACTAAAACGTTTTTTACTGCTCCCAATGGCCTAGTTTCTTTGCCATTGATATCTACTAATTGAGAATTAGATTCTTGATCAATCTGTCTTCCCAATTTATTTAAGTATTGTTGAGTTATTAAGCTAACTCCTGATCCTGTATTGATCACAACTTCTGTCTCTTTATTGCCTATATGTATTTTACTTGTTATGGCGTCTGTCTTTTTGTCTGGGGCTTTGTTTTCATCTATTGCACCATCCTGCCCCTCTGGAGGTGCTTTTACCCTTTTAAATTGTTTACTTTGTTGGTTAATTCAGCCACAGCTGCTGCGAGCATTTCTAAAGCATCTGGTGGTTTTGGTGTAGGACTTTGTTCAATTTGTAAATATTGAGCTGCTGCTACTGCTGCTGGTGGTGGTGGTGTGTTATAGTATTGAGGTTTTTGGTAGTAATTCGGTTGGTAGTACACATAACTTTGGTCCAATTGATTTTGCTGTGCAATAAAAACTTTCTTTGGTGCTTGTTGCTGGTCATTTCTCTGTAGTATTTGCTTAAACTGTGCTGTATGTGGGCACTTATCTGCAAAGTGACCTAGCTGGCCACATGTATAACAAGTTCGGTTTTTTGTGCACCATTTAGTCCAATGTCCTGTTTTTACACAAGCCTTACAGTTTTTTTTTTGCTGGGTAGGCGTTTTCAGGCTTCTTTGAGGGCAGTCTGCTGCCTGATGTCCTTTCTTATAGCAAAGATCACATGATTCCTGTGCTGATCTTGTTAAAAGTTCTTTCAGTTCTTTCAGTTCTTTGTGAAGTTCTTTGTCATGTTTCTTTACCATAGAATATCCTGCTGACTGTAACTTGCTGTAGTATTCACTGACTGTTTCTCCTGGTCTTTGCTTACAATTCCGAAGTTCTCCCATCCATCTTTGTTGTCTTTCTGGACCACAAAATCTGGATAGAAATTGGTACTTGAATGATCTTTTACATCTATATTCTGATTTCCAAGCTTCCCATGTTATTATGGTTTTTCTAACAGCTCTCCACCATGACAAGGCAGGTCCTTCCAAACTAGCTGATAATAAGTCTAGCATTCTGTTATCCTTTATCCCATTCACTTCACAAGCAGCTTCGTATTGGTCAAGCCATTCATATGGATCATCTTCCCCTCCTCCAAATTTTGGAAATTCTAACCACTTAGTCTCTTTTCCCCCTAGTCCTGCTGCTTTAAAGGCTTTCACCAGTTTATGCAAATTTTTTTCCTCTTGGTCTTCTGGATCAACTTCATCTTCTTCACCAGATGGTGGTTCTCCCAATCCAGTCTGATTCTTCTCCAAGTATTCTGCTACTATGTCAAATATACCTTTGTTTTTTTGTTTAGCTAGCTCTTTTTCCCTTCTGTCATGTGCTTGGGTTAGTTCTAACAATTTCTTCCGAGTTTCCAGCATGTGATGTCTTTGATAGTTTATTATTTGCTCCTTTTCCTCAACAGACAGGTCACTAGTTTTCTTTGCAAGAAGCTCCTTAATTTTGTCTTCATCAAACTCATCCTTGTCATCATTGAACTCATCCTTCTCCTTCCCTTTTCTTTCATATAATAATTTCATTGGTATATACAGGACATCATCCTTCTCTACACATTTAAGACCTAACTCTGCACAGTGCCAGTCACTACCCAATCCTTCCTGGAAAGTTTTACCTTCTATGGTGAATGCAGTGACTCCATCCAAGCTACTGATCACATACTGAGCTCCAGTTGATGATACCTCAGTCTTTATATTTGGTTGCTTACTTTCAGATGATGATGGTGACATTTCTGATTTTTATGATGCTGTATCACTATAACTTCTGTTGTATCTGAATTTTCTTCCGAACTTTCAAATAGTGTACTATAGTCTGGTACTGTCTGGATTGATTCTGAATATTCAGATTCTTGGTATACTGGCTCTTGGTATTGGTCTAAAGATTCTAAGTCGTCTGAGTCTGTAAAAAGGGCTTCTGCTATATCTGACTCTTCTAATTCTTCTAGAAATCTGGCTTTAGTATTTCTTAAGCTTCTTCTTTTTCTTCTGGGGTCCACAGTGCTATGGTTCTTTAATTACAGGTTTGTTTAGACCAAACTGCTCAATTAGTATGATGACTATGCTGATGGCTGGTCCTGTTGTTGTCACCAGATTGCAAGCATGCAATCCGAGTTTCCTAGTTAGTAGGTTATTTAATGCTCAACACACAGCCTACCTGCTGACTTATGGTCAAGTAAAATAAAAAATTGACTTTTATCTTCCTGGATAAAAGGGTCCCTAGGTTCTATGTGAATAATTATATCTCAAAGGCGTCCCCTTGAGATGTGCCTCAATAATTAAAATGTTGGTTACTTGCTAGGTGTAGCAAAGGTTTCCTTTCAACAGGTTATTAGTTAATTAAAAATTTATGTTATATGTTTTATTAGCAATAATAATAATATTATTACAATAGTGTTAGGAAAAATTAATTATTAGATCAATAATTAAGAGATTATTATATGAACATGATGATTCTGACTTGGTCTAAAACCAAGTCTTTTTATACCTCTTGGGGTATTACAAATAACATGACTTTTACTCTATTTTGTCCAATAAAATATGCTTATTAATACTAAATAAATATTTGGGTCAACTGAACATTACAAAATGATAATTAATAATTCAAAGTAAATATTTGCATCAGCTGAATAAGTTCTTGAAATATAAATATAGAAATATGAATAGAAATAATTGTTTGTGTGATACTGCGCAATGTGTGGCGCAGTAGTTTCACAAAATACAAATAAAAATGATGTCGTTTCACGTGATTCCGCAGTAATTTGGTTCGGTTGGATCGGCAAAGTGGGGATATCTCTATCGGTCCTTATTCTACTATCTCACAATACCAAATTTATATAATAAAGGAATGAATGGAATTGAACTATGGTGATGTCACGTGTCAGTAGTCTCCCTCCTTTTGAGGAGGCGGTTATCATTGTACTATATAGTACAATCTTCCCTTTTAAATATTGACATGATCAACACAAAATGGTTGTTCAGGCAAAACAAAAGAAAAAGTATCCATATAGGTAAACAAGAATTTATGATGGAAGATAATGTGGACAATACGGTGATTGGAATGGGAATAGAAGAAATGTCAGAAAAGGAAGAAGATGAGGAAGAAGAAGAAAGAAAATTGCTTTAAAAACTGATTATGAAAAGTAAAAACAGCTTTAATAAATGAAAAATTTGCTCCAGAATTTTACCTATTGAGTTGGCTTTGGATAATTTATATGTTGAATTAAATAATCAAATAATGAACGATTCACTTGTTTATATATATATTTGGGGAAAAATACAAGATTAAAAAAATAAAAAGAAATATATTAAAATCTATATATATAATTTATATATGGGGCATGCTGCAACAAAACCAGACAAAGTGAACATTAGTATTAGTATTATCAAAGATTTCAGGGATCAAAATTTAGTAATGTGATTATTAAAATCTTCTGTTTGTTATCTTAAGTGATATAGAATTGCCCTATATATAAATTCGAATCTATCATCAAGGCACACTAGTTAGGCTAGCCTTGTGTACATGAGGATGACTGTAAGTGTTCAAGACAGTGTGTGTGTTTCAATGTTTGAAAATTTCCAATAATCAAACATTAAATATCAAAATGTTTCTCTTCTTTCTCCATTTGTTTTCAACAAAATATATTTATACAAATAATAAAAGATACATTTATAAACAATAAAATAGATATAATACAAATCCAAAAAAAAAAATAATACCTCTCATTATTAATAAACAATACATCTTCATATCAGACCACAACATTCACATTTCCTCATCTTGTGAAAATAAATTATTTTCAAAAAAAAAAAAATATATATATATCCACAAATGAATGCAAAGCAAAAATAAGATAATAAGATAAATTTATCAATTTAAATTTTTAAGAAATTATTTCATTTCAATCAGATTTTACAAGAGAAAAAAATCTGGCTTTTTATATATATTTGAGTGTTTAAATTTCTTTGTTATTCAGATTAACAAAAGCTATTTTAAATTGTTTCGTTAACATGATAAAGAAAATAAGAAATGAGAAGTGATTATTCATTCTATCAGCATAACAAAAGAAGTTGGAAAAGGATATCAAATTTTTGATCAATAAAGACTATGCTAATTGTTTGATAAAGAACAAATACCACATCGGATTTTTTTCATTGATAATGAAAATAGCCTTGTAAGAAAAAAATATAAAGAATTCTTTCAGTTTCAATTTTTTAAGAAATAGAATTATTAATAAATATTGATCCAAATTGACAAAAAGAAAGAAACATGAAAATTAAAAAGAGAATATTGGAACAGCTACAATCTTAACTTGTAAGAGATAGAAATATTAGAAATCCAACTAACATTTACTTGTTCCTTTTTCTCAAATTGTAGTTGTGTGTTGGTTGAGCATTTTTGATTTTTCTTTTCTTTGATTTTGGCGCAGTACTACTAATGGAAAAATCTTCATCACAAAAATCAAAAATCTCAAAACTGTTTGCACCAGAATTTTTGCTGACGACCATAATACAGTACCTTTCATTATACTTAAGGCCCCTACGTATAGAATTCATATTAAAACATATGAATATAAACTTGCAATTAATATATTATATGTGAATGATACATCACCATAGAGTACTTATTCCAGTTAATAAATCATGAATGTGATTTCCTGTTTCCATACTCCATAAACAAACTACTCCTTCAGAGCTACCAAAATTACCAGTACCATCAAAATAGTCATCATCGTCAACAACAAAATCAGTGCCTGATATTATTTTCCATTCATCATGTTGAAAGTATGATATTGTACCAGAATGTGTACCTAATAAATATTTCAAATTACCATTTGAAATATCCCACACATGAAGATTCTTGTATCCATCAACTGAAGTCACAAGGCAACCATTTGAAATCCCAATAGGATTTGAACGTCCTATATAAACAGCAACAATTAAAATAATTATCTACCTATTTTTATATATTTTTATTTATATAATATATATTGTACCTTTGAAAGTATGAATGTTAGTACCATCATCTATGTTCCACACCTTAATTTTACCATCTATGCTACCACTGAAACATTTTCGGGATTTATAATCCAATGCAACAGAGTATACTTCTTCATCTCCTTGTAAATTCCAGACACATTCTCCAGTCATAATATTCCAAACTCTGACATTGCCATCCTTACTACCACTAACTAATGTATTTTCTATTGCTGTTAAAGTACACACAGCACCATCATGACCTTGAAGAGAGTGAAGAAAATATTGATTATTGTTTGATTGACTACTAATGGATGGTAATGAATTGGCTTCAAGGTTAGGTAAACTCCACACTCTTATTGTGAAGTCATCAGAGCCAGTGATTATTAAAGGAATAGATGTTTTATTTAGACTTAGATTAGTATTTTGTGACACTACAATTTGAAGACATGTAACACTACTAGTATGGCCTGAAAAGATGTGAGTGCATGTTCCTTTCAAAAGATCCCATATTCTAATGTTATGATCACTTGAACATGAAACCAAAGTATTACTATTAGATTGTATTCCCAAAATTGGACCTTCATGACCTTTGAGCTCATAAATCAATTTACCAGATGTAGCATCACAGAAGTATATAAGACAATCATTGGTTCCATAAATGAGTTTTTCTGACATAATATCTAAACATGTAACCATACTTCCATGGTATATTTCGAATGACACTTGTTTAAATTTGCAATTCATCCAATTTTGTTTCATTAAAATGATGTCGATGATAGATTGTTTTGAATAAACAATTTGCTGAAGGCACTGTTGAACTACTACCACTGCTATTACTATTATTATTAGAATAAGTCACCATGTTTTTATCATAATCATCAAGATGAAATCCATTTTTGAATAAAATTTTTTTCCATATCCAGTTGTCATTTGCAATATTATTTAGTTTTTTACAGACCAAATTTACTCTAATTAGGTCTATCAAATCTAAACATATTAAAATATTAAAAAGTAGATCACTTGGAAGTTCACAAAAAAAACTTTTTTTTTGTCTAATATTTTTTGGAAAGTAAATAAAGTAAATACAAATTAATTTAATAAGGTTATATATAAACTAGAGTAGCTGTAGTAGTGGCAGTAGTTGTATGCAACCACTACCACCTTTAAAAAAAATAATAATACTTACTCAAAAACTTTTTCGATTTCTTTTTTTTCTTGTCTTCTCTGTCTTTTTACAGATGGTCATTTTTTTAAAAAAAAAATTTTTAAAATTAATTAATTAAACTAGAGTGACGACGAGTGGCGGGCGATAACCACCACCACCATCCTTAAAACACTTACCTGGCAAATTCTTTTTCTTCTTGGGTTTGTTTTCTTTTTCTGTCCGCTCTAGCAGACATTTTTAATTTTTTGCATAAAATAGAAATTAAAAATTTTGTTACACACTAATTAATTATCCTATTGGTTTTTTTTTTGGTAGGACAGACGCGAATGATTTTTTTTTTTTTTTTTTTTCTTGGAAAAACAATTTATTTTTTGACAGAGTCCAAGGTGACAAAACGTGAGTGTTGTTGTTTGGTTTGGTTTGAATCTCCTAAAGAAAACGTGTTAATAACTAACCAGAGGTACTTTTTTTTATTTGTATTGATATAATGTGGTATCTTTTTTGGTTTATAAATATTTTAATTGGAAATCAAAACGCGGAGCAGATCTTGCTGGGTAATTAATTACAAGATTTTCATTGATAATATTTTGCTTTTCGTAATCAATATTAATAATATTAATATTATTATAATTAATTACATGTCAAGGTGGCATACCGTTGAAATTGAAACATTTCGAATATGCGATGTTTGATTATCGGAAATTTACAGATGTTGAAGCACGCACGCTGCCTTGAACACTTTACAGTCATTCTCACACATCTTCCTCGTGTACATAAGGCTAATATGACTAGTGTCCCCCAAAGATATGATGATGCCTTCGATACCAGGGGGGGGAGGACGTGCCCTGGAGTTGAGACTGCATCAAACGTCAATGACACCTGATAATCTTCCCTCACAGCACCCAGACCAGAGGAGGCTGCCACGTTAGCCGAAAATTTGCCTGCAACGATCTTACCTCTAGGGTAAGGATGGCTCTGTGACCAAGTCGCAACTCTGCAGCAAAGTTGTGATATTAGGTGCACATAAACATCAAAGCAACGAGAATCTGCAACTCGTTTCAAGCACAGGTTACAATTCAGGGCAGGGTTGGTGACCCTGAAATTGCATTTGGACTCTGATGTTAGGAGGAGAGTTGTAAAATAGTGTTTGTTTTGTATAATTATTTTCCTAAATTCTCTGTTAACCAATTTATAATTTTGGGTAGAGGACTGAATTGGTTTTTGCCCAATCAGTCCCCCTGTCCTATAGATTAAAATTATTGTATGTTTATATACATCTTTGTCAGCAATATGGCCAATAAGGAAAAAGTCATAAAATGGTTTGGATTTTGGTATGTGATGTTATAAATTAATCATTTTCATAAATTTTCTGTTTCTCTAAACTTTATTTGACCAACTGAACTTGTTGTTTAAATGGGGTAGGGTTGTTGGCATGTTGATGTGCCTAAATTTAGGGAAAATCTAAAACAGCAACCCAGGTTGTAACCTCCCAAGGTGCAGGATTTTGAACCTGTTGCAGATACCAACTTTATTCTAGAGATATAACACAAAGCAATCATCACACAAGCACCAGCTATCAGTGATCAATGCTCATATGGTAACAGTCAAGCCTGGTCTGAGAGGAAGATAAGGAAAATTTTGTCCAAAGCCTTCCAACTTGTCCAAGTTGCTCTCACTCGTGGAAAAAAGGTCCACAGTGCAGGAGGGTGCTTTGCACAACGCTTGCATGTTTGTGACAGGAAAATTTTAATTAAATCTGACACCTGCAATCAACATCAGATTTATTATTCATAATTGATAATCAGGAAAAATAATTTATTTTGTGAATCCCAAAGATCTGGGTAGACACACATTATTAAAAGTTTCATTTTTGCATGGCCTTGGTATTATTACTACCTGGGTGATGCAATTGTTTGTTATGTCAATGATGATATCAAATGTATCACATAATAATCATGACCATTGTAAATATTCGATGGATGGAGGCATTCACATACAAGGAAATGATTAAATAGTAAGTCATGTTTGTTTTATTAAAGACATATAGTTAAATCAAGCAATCAAGCTGTTATACTTGCACATGATTTAAAATTCTCTTGTGCTAATTTAGGGTCCCATCTTTCTTTGCTTGTATATAATCTATTGGTTCTTTTTTTACTGGTCAAATGATGCCAAATTGGGTAATGGGGTATCATTAAATATCAGAATCTGATTATTCTTTAAAAAAATAATCAAGGTATTAGCATACTGATAAGTTAATAATATTCTTAATATTTTTATCATATAGTCTAAAAGCCTATTAGTAAATATTGAATGAAATGTTCAGATATTCTTTTACTATTTTTTAATTAATTTAATAAACCAATAGCTCTTGCATTGTAATTAAAATTATTGGTTAAATGTTTCTAAAGCTCTTTGTGCTAAAATAATATCATAATCTTGAGTAATAGTTAGGTTTCTATTCAAATAAAGGTTTACTTAAATAAAACAAATAATTCAAGTAATAATAATTTGAATAAAATGAATAATAATAATTTGAATAAAAGCAAATAAAACCAATAAAACCAATAAAACCAATAAAACCAATAAACCAAACCAATAAAACCAATAAAACCAATAAAACCAATAAAAGCGAATAAAAGCGAATAAAACCAATAAAACCAATAAAACCAATAAAACCAATAAAACCAATAAAACCAATAAAAGCGAATAAAACCAATAAAACCAATAAAACCAATAAAAGCAAATAAAGCAAATAAAACCAATAAAACCAATAAAACCAATAAAACTGAATAAAACATACAGTCAGAACTTGTTAAGGCAATGCTTTGATAAACTGAATATACATGATAAGCTGATGTTGTTTTATTATCTACCTATCAAATTTACCTCAGTAAGCCGATTTTATTAAGGTTTTTTAAATTGAAAATATTGACTTCGGTTTAATGAGTTCTGACTGTATTATGAATAGAAACTTGCATTAATACCAAAATCAAAAAACAACAATAAACAAACAAACAAATAGCTTTTATTGCAAAATAATTAATTTTGGTCCTTTATTGAATCAATCACACAAGTAGTGGTCAATTTAAACAGCATTGTTTTTAAAGAAAATAATATTATTAAATGTATAAAGTTTAATGATTTTTAATGTT